AAAAAAAAAAAAAAAAAAAAAAAAAAAATTTGTCAAATTTAACTTTGTGAAAAAAAAAAAAATTATATATATATATATATATATATATATTTTTGAAAAACTAAATTTGAGAATGGATGGGTTAGATAAAATATAAAATACTTATAAATATTTTTATTAATTTAATATATATATATTCAACTTTTTTTTTAATGGACTTTCAAAATTGTTCTTTTGGGCTTTGTGGAAAATCTCTGACCATTTTGTTATTATTATTTTTTTGGACAAACTGATTAATAGATTCTTAAAATTGTAACGGGCGCCGCCTCTGGCTTTCTGTGTCGCTATTCCCTCGCATTCCCTTCAGTCGTCGGAGCCGTAAACCGGAGTACTCCGAGCATTTTTCCGAGGGAATACGAGAAGTATTTTCATTTTGTAGTTTCGCAATCTCGATCCTGTCTTTGTTATCTGAAGAATTTCCCCTACTCAATTCTTGGAGCTCAGTCATTGAGGTACTGTTCCTTATCCTTGGTTCTTGAGCAATACGCTTGGAGGTGTTTGGCTGTTTGAAGAAGAATGGAGCGGTTTGCTTGTTTTAATTTATGCGATTCATTTATTAATTTATTTACTGACTTGCATGTTGAAAACGGGGGAAAATGAGAGTTAAGGTAGCTATTAATGGCTTCTGGTTGAGTTTTGTGGTTGTGGACATTCTTCGAATTGACTGTTTTCTTTGTGGAATGTACAGATCGAGCTGCAGTTTTGAAGTTTTTGAATCGAAAAGAGTTCTATTCAAGGTTTTCGAAAATTCATTGTGTTGAACTATTGTGATTGTGTCGAAGTAACTCATGGAAGGCGCATTGAATCTTCTTGGAGGCGCAAATTTTTGCCCTGTCTCTATGAGTAGAACACTGTGTTGCCAACGTTCACTGTCTCCGCATCTTCATTTTGTGTCATCCATTGCGCGTAGTGCTGGATTGTACACGAATGGGAAAAGATTATCTTTTAGACGTGCAGGTTCGAGAGTCAGATGCGAAGTAAGACTTGGAGACGTGCTTGACAAAAAAGTAATCGAGTCCAGAAGTTCTGGGGAAAACGAGCAACATTTTACATGTGTCATGAAGTTTGGTGGCTCGTCAGTGGCTTCTGCGGAGAGAATGATAGAGGTTGCTGAACTTATACGCAGCTTCCCTGAGGAGCGGCCGCTGATTGTTCTCTCGGCCATGGGAAAGACAACCAACAAGCTTTTGCTGGTATGCACTTGCTCTTCCAAATTTCTCTACTTATTATATATGTAGAAAGGTGTTTTATTCTCTTTCAATACACTCCCGTCGTGTTGATTCGAAGTTCCATGCTAACTTAATAGGCTGGAGAAAAGGCTGTTAGCTGTGGCGCTACTAATGCATCGGATATTGAAGAGATGAAATTCATAAAACAGTTGCATCTGAAGTAAGAAATTTGAGTCCTTCAAGCCACTTCTGAATAATGTCGTAAATCATCCTCACAGGGCGTTGTCATGTTGTTTTTAGGACTGCAGATGAGCTTGGAGTCGACAGGTCTATTATTGCAAGTAAGCTCTATTTTTGTGCTTGAAACTTGTTAATTTAATAGTTCATATTCCTGCTGCGTCTCTTTTCTCCTCCAGTTCGATACTTTCTTATTGATTTTGTCTGTTGTTTTCTGGAATAAGCATAAATTTTAGGCTAGCACGAACTGATAAGAAAAAGTGAATAGAATATAGAAAGTAACAAAAGTTATAGTCTTTGGGATTGAGGAATGAATAAAATATTTACTTTTCCAACAAGATGTAAGCAAGAAGAATAAGCTGAACAATAATGATGAGTACGAATGAGAATGGGGTGACTGTTCCTATTTCTCCTTTTATATTCTTGGTAAGCAAGAAGAATAAGCTGAACAATAATGATGAGTACGAATGAGAATGGGGTGACTGTTCCTATTTCTCCTTTTATATTCTTGGTATAAAATTTAGAAGTATCAATTATTACATATACCGAGGATCTCATTCAGAAATTATTGAATTACTATGCATTGTTGAGCATCAACTTGCAAATATCAATTCAGTGTCTGAAAGAAAAATCAATATTTTTAAGAAGAAAAAAACAGAGTAGTTGTTCAACTTGCTTTTATGCTTGTTGAGAGTCTTCATGAACACCTTGCATTAATGCAGAGATTGTGGTTTATCTGGAAATTTCTAATTTATGTTGCTGTTTTGTCATCCTACAATCTGGTGATAATATTATCTATTGTTGTGCACCAGCGGTATCTAAAATTTTTCCTGTCGAAGTGGCAGCGATGAAAGTATAAGATTAGTTCTGTAGCATTTCTTGATTGGTCTTCCATTTGCATTCGGTACCTTGTTTTTTATATTCTGATTGCCTTAGGTTATGCTGGAATATATGAGCATGATGATGCAAATACCTATATGTTAGAAAGGGGTATCTTCATCTGATGGCTTGAATTTATAACCCCTTTTCATGTTCCCTTGTGACAATCTAATGCATTTCCTACAGATTCGTTTCTATTGATATCAGGATCATAAATCATGCAATAGCATAAGCATTGCAAATGATGACATTTATACCTTAAAATTTTACAGCAATAATACCTTGATCATATTTGTTATATACGTATATAATACATAATTATGTTGCAGATCACCTTGATGAATTGGAGCAACTACTCAAGGGAATTGCTATGATGAAAGAATTAACTCTTCGAACAAGAGATTACTTAGTTTCCTTTGGGGAGTGCATGTCGACGAGGATTTTTGCTGCTTATTTAAATAGGATCGGTGTCAAAGCCCGTCAAGTATGCTTCTGTTCCTTTTATTGTTTAATGTGTTGGACATATATGACCTATTGTATAGACTCAAAGTAGTTCAAGTATTTCCATTTATATTTAACCTTTAGCGTTGGGTAAAATTAACAGAAAAAAAAAAAAAAGAAACTATTTCCGGTAGGCTAAGAAGTAAGAATATGAGACATGGATACAATATGGACACTGACACATTATATTTTAAAATCTTGGACACGGACATAGACAGAACAAAGACAAATTTATTAAAATTTACATTTTTAAAGTATATATAATTTTAAACAAGAAAGAAATTCAAAGTCAGTGAGCTTATGCATTTATATGCTTAAAAGATCAATTTGATGTATTTTTATCATATATATGTCTATTTAGTTTACTTAACAAGTGCTTGATGCATGTCTAACAAATGTTAGACCTATTTTGACTTTGTACAACTAGTATCTAACACATCTATTACATTGACAAGTGTCCAATATGCAGCAAGTGTTGGAGCGTCCAAGTGTCCGGCATGTTGAACATGGACAAACTAGCCAAACTAAAGTGTCTGTGCATCTTAGCCAGTAGGTATTGGATTCTAAAGTAGGGATTGGTTTGTTATCATTTTTTCTTTAGTAATTGAACCCTTACTGGAGTCAGGAGTGTCATTGAGAAATTTGGCTTTTTCTTGGGATAAAGGTAGGATCGTTTGTGCTCGATTCTTGCCATCAGTAATTTTTATATGTTAGTCTAAGCCACAATCATGAAGCCTAAACTAGCGATTTCTGCGGAAATGTTTGGTTAAAAAAAAAAAACAAAAGAAAAGAAATTAAAAGGCGAACTTTTAAATTTCTGGCAAACAATTTGGTTTGACAATCTAGCACAAGATTCTTTGAGACCTCCGATTAATCTATGTGTATGAAAGGAAGGATAAAAAGGGGAATTCACACATGACAGTTGGTTAGTGGAGCGTGAAGTTTGTTAAGGCAGTTGGTGGGGTCAGGAGAGGCTTATGTAGGGTTTTGGATGGCTAGGTTTGGGGTGTGAGAGATGCAGATTAAAGCTGAGGCTTGAAGGATAGGATTTCCAGCTCTCACAAATTTGCTGGAGAGTTGTCTTTATATTTGGTTTTTCTATTGTGAATGTCATCTAGTTTCCTTTTGATATTGTAAGAACTCGTGGAATTCACACATGGCAGTTGGTTAGGGGAACATGAAGTTTGTTAAGGCAATTGGTGGGGTCCGGAGAGGCTTATGTAGGGTTTTGGATGGCTAGGGTCGAGGTGTGAGAGATCAGATTGAAGCTGAGGCTTGAAGGATAGGATTTCCAGCTCTCACAAATGTGCTGGAGTATTGTCTTTATATTTGGTTTTTCTATTGTGAATGTCATCTTAGTTTCCTTTTGAAATTGTAAGTACTCTGTGGGCTTTCATAGTATCGCAATAGATATCTCAACAGGGAGGGAATTTCTCTGTGGTACTCTGTTTGCAGAGGAGAGGAAGATACCTAAAAAGTTCCTTCCCGAAGACATTGTCTTTCAATATACCCCCTACTTAGTCAATGTTATTATTTTTAGAGGTTATTTATTTATTTTATTTTTAATATATATACACAAAACTAATTCTCATGTAGAAGACTGTTATTTCCCTTGTCACCTTAAAAACTTAATCTGCTTTCTAATATTTTATAGTGGTTTCAATTATCACAATAGCTTACTCCGAACACTCTCACTTATAGCCAAAAGAGAGATAAAGTAAGAAATAAAAAAAAAGAATGAAAAAAGAACAAAGTTTTCCAGTATTCCACGATCAATTGTCATTGACAATGACAACTTGTGATAACGTCCACTTTTGCAGTATGATGCATTTGAAATAGGGTTCATCACCACGGATGACTTCACAAATGCTGACATTTTAGAAGCAACCTATCCTGCTGTTGCAAAAAGGCTACTTGGTGATTGGAATTCTGATCCTGCTATTCCTATTGTTACTGGCTTCCTTGGAAAGGTCTTTCAACGAACAATTTTGCTTTATTGTTTGTCAATTTTGAAGGATTGGATCTTTTTGAGTCTTGAAGATAATGCAATCATTTCTATCCTAAAAGAAGAAATTGCTACCATGAGAATTTGTTTCTTTTCCAGAAAAAAAAAAACTATAAGGCAATCATTTTTTTTTTTCAATTTAAGGGCTGGAGATCATGTGCAGTGACCACATTGGGAAGGGGTGGTAGTGATTTGACTGCTACTACCATAGGCAAAGCACTTGGATTGCGGGAGATTCAGGTTGCAGCCTCTTATTAAATAAGTTTTGCAAATGCCGTTTACTGTTTTGTGTTTCATTTTCATTATTTGTTTAGAAGGGTGCTTCTAGTTTTTATTTTATTATTTTTTAAAAAAGTTGGAGATAATAAATTAATTTTGTGCTTCGCAGGTGTGGAAAGATGTTGATGGTGTTTTGACATGTGACCCTAATATTTATTCAGGGGCAGAACCTGTTCCCTTTTTGACGTTTGATGAGGCAGCTGAGCTTGCTTATTTTGGAGCTCAGGTGATTACTTGCATTTGACTTGGTGGAATTGTCAATCTACCTATTTGTTGTCTTAGCTATGAAGTTTAAACCGTTATTTGTCTTAGTTGATTTAGGTGGGGCACACCTTAATATCTGGCTCTTTGAAATGTTCAAACTATATATTGCTTTTCACGCATCACTTACTCCTACCATTCCCAACTTTAATTTCCTCTATTCAGGGCCTTCTACATACTTATAAATTAATACACAATGAGGGATCTTACTTGTGTGTGTGTGTTCTGTCATGAAATTTATTACTTTCCCTTGTACGTACAAGGGATCTTATTTCCCTTGTACATGACCCCCTAAGTGGTTCGTTATGCTTGACGTGCATAAATTGTGGGCTGATCACCAACTTTGGTCTTCTTTTGGTTTACCCTTTTGTGGTTCCTTTTGTAGGTTCTGCATCCACAATCAATGCGACCAGCTAGGGAGGGTGATATTCCTGTTCGGGTGAAAAATTCATATAATCCTCAAGCTCCTGGTACTCTCATCACTCGGAACAGAGATATGAGCAAGGTCTGTAGCACTTAGATTTCTTGAAAAGGAAAATCTATCGCTTGTATAGTCCTTGAAACTACTTTTTATGTTCTCAATTGTAGGCAGTGCTGACAAGTATTGTTTTGAAACGCAATGTAACCATGTTGGATATTGTAAGCACTCGCATGCTCGGTCAATATGGTTTTCTTGCCAAGGTGAGGAGGTGTTTAATTCTTTTCCAAGTGGCCTTATTGAATTATTGCTAATATTCTTTTCCAAGTGGCCTTATTGAATTATTGCTAATTTTAATGGATATATTCTTCGTTTTCTTCTTCTTCTGGCGTGTGTCGGTCCTTATAAGTACAGGTGTTTGCAATCTTCGAGGATTTGGGCATATCAGTTGATGTGGTTGCTACTAGTGAAGTCAGTTTATCCCTGACCTTGGATCCATCGAAGCTTTGGAGCAGAGAGCTCATCCAGCAGGCAAGCGTATGAAACTATATACTCTATTATTCGCGATCTTTGTTTTTTTTTTTTTTTTTTAATTCCTGCTTTCTCTCTTGTTTTGGACTGTTGCTCTCTGTCTGCCTATCTCTCTCATAATTTATTTTCCTTTTGTTTCTTTCTGGAAAACCTGGCTTTCTCTCCTCTGTTTTATTTCAAAGAATTAAAAATGTGAGAAATTTTGCATGTTCTCCTCTCGTTTTTTTTAATTTTTTATTTAAAATATTTGTTCTTGTTAACTTATTCTTTTATATGTTATAAGTTTGGTTTAAAACTATTAAACCATGGTATTATATGTTTTTACTTATTTTCAAGTATTTCATATTCATGTGATTCTGTTTTCTTACGAATTATCATTATGTATAATTTAATTTATTCATTTATGTGCATGTCAATTCACTCGGACATTGCCTTCCCCTCTAGCCTGAAGGTGATTGAGAGGCTTATTGTGTTTTCTTTCACCGTGAAAACACTGTAGCATCTATTGTATGAATAGTTTATCATGCTCGTTTTGATACTTAACTCTGCATTTGTCATTTAATCAAAATCTCAGCACACTACAGCTGATTGGCGTTACATTTATATCCTATTGGCAGGAGCTTGACCATGTGGTGGAAGAACTTGAGAAAATTGCTGTTGTGAAACTGCTTCAGCATAGATCAATCATTTCTCTCATAGGGAATGTTCAAAGGTCATCACTGATACTGGAAAAGGTGCTGCATCTAGTTGTCCCCCGATTTATTCACACACACGCACAAAATTCACTTTTCTGCACAAAATATAATTCATTTACTCCCGTTTAATAACTTTTTTCTTTTTAGTTTTCTGTTTCTAAAATTATGCATATTTTCTTTCTAACACTTTCATTTCTGCACCATAGCCTAAACTTTTAACTAAAAAAAAATCAAAACCTATTCTTTGTTTTTGAAATATCGTTGTCGAATGTGCCCTTTATGCTCTTGTTCAATCCAGTTGAATGTTTATGGATTTTATCAAATTTCCAAAGAAGAATTCTCCTCAACGTAGAAGTGCATTCTACTTTCTTTCTTTCTTTCTTTCTTTTTTTCTTTTTTTTTTGTTTGCATAAAAAAAGTAGTTGAGCACAATTATCTAAGAATCACAGGCACAGCCAGACACGGACACGGCGGGACATAGACACAGAATTTCAAAAGTAGGGCACAGACAGTTGAGGACATATATGTGTGTATTGTTATATTAATACTTCTCTATAGAAAAAACATGTAAATATAACATAGAATCAAAATATACTTCACTAAAAACATACAAAGTTAATTTCACTAATAATATTTGAAATCTTTGGTTATGACTAGAGGAATAAGATGTCATCCAAATACTTTAGGAATGATCAATATGTAAGGATTCAATCTATAAGAAAATCTCTATTTTTTTCGTAATTTTTAGGTTAAATATATTTTAGGCATGTCCAAATTAGAAAATAAAACATATTAAATGCAGACACATTTTTAGTGTGTTAGACGTGTTTGAAGTGTGTTGTGTCTGGGCTTCCTGGAATATTATAATAATAATTCATCCTATTTGCAAATATAATCTACCTGCATGATTTTGAGTTATCAAGCATCTTTCTGTTGGCTTGTTTCTAATGCATAACTTTGTGGCAGGCATTTCACGTTTTCCATACCAATGGGGTAAATGTTCAAATGATATCCCAGGGTGCTTCTAAGGTATCTTCTTCTGTTCATACCTCACATCAACAATCCATTCTCATGCACATAAATCACTTGTCCATCACAAAAGTGTATCTAAGGTGTCTGCATATGAATTCATATTAGAAATATAGGCCCGATTACCTCGAGGTGGCCACGGCAGTAATATCTAGGTGAAAATTTTGATAATTTAAAACTCTTCTCGTCTCTGGGAACTCCACTCTTAAAGTGGATGAAATCTCCTCCGTGACGAGTGAGATGAACCATGAGGATAATATAAGGAGTAGGTTGCAACTCCTCGATTATACAATAAAAAGAAAATCATTGTGATTAAACGAGCTTGGTTTTCTAAACCAAATAAGAAATGCCATGACAAGAGAGCCATGTGGACTTAAGGAACTTATTCCCAATCTATGTAGTAAAATGTGTGGTATAGAAATCATTGTAATGTAATGCTGATTGCCTCATGCCTCTCCCTATTTATGCAATTGCTCCAGTTTTGGAAATGCTTGTAGTATGTTCACCATGGTTCATGAAACTGCATTAAACTTCATATTTTGATTCGGCTAAATAGCAAAATATACTCTTGAACTTTGTTATTTGCTGACTAGAAACCTATTAGAATGTTGGACAAAATTGAGACGTGTAGCGGTAACTTGGAGAAATTGGGACTCAAATACCGTCACAGTATTTCAAGTCAACGCTACACCCATTTTAGGTTTTAGTTCATATTTTTAATTAATAGATGTCTATTCTAATGGTAGTTTTAGAACGTTTATAAAAGTATAACTTTTCTGTTATTCAGCCTTTTGATTTCTATACATATAGCTGATTCATTTTGTTGTCAACTTGGCAGGTCAATATCTCGTTGATCGTAAATGACAACGAAGCAGAGCAATGTGTTCGGGCTCTCCATTCGGTCTTCTTCGTGACCGATGAACTCAAATTATATACAAAATGATTCATATCTCAAATGGTTGAGTCTCAGCAAGTATCACTGCGTGAGCATATAAGGCCATTTTTTCATCTCGAGAAGCTGTATTTTTCAACAATACGAGGAAGGCGCAACCATAGCAATTGGTATAATACAGGCAAGTTGAGTTAGTTTTTTCTATTGGTTTTGATTACATAAGACTTTGCTGGTAATTGTGTAGTATTTTAATTAATTCAGAAAAAAGAAAAAGAAAAGAGAATTAGGGTTTATGGTTTTATGGTGTACACTGAGTTTCATAAATGTTATAATTATGGTTTTATTGAGACAATTTATAAATAATAGTTATAATTATAATTTCGACCGTTTTTTTTTTATTTTTTTATTTTTTTCGTTTTCAAGTAAATATTTGAATTTTTAATTGAATTTTAAAAATAAAATAAGTTTTAAAAAACTAAGCTAAATTTTTAACTATTAAAAGCCTAGTTTTTGTTTTTATATCTCGACGGGCCAAATTTAAAAAATAAAAAATAAAAAAAAAATTAACTTTTAATTTTTATAATTTGGCTTGAATTGAAACATTTCAAAAACTATTTCTTTTAGTTCCTAAAAATTGTTTTTATTTTTTGAATTTGACTGAGAATTAAAATATTTCTACAAGAAACATGAAAATCATATTAAAGTATAATTGCACTCAAACTCGTTTTAAAAATAAATTATTGAGTTATCTTGATGAAAGCCTCATATTCGGCTAATTTAGGGAATGATTATGAGTTTATAAATAAAGAATACTTTTTCCATTGGTGTGAGGTTTTTTAGGGAACTCAAAAGCAAAGCCATGAGAGCTTTTGTTCAAAGTGGATAATATCATACCATTGTGGAGAGTCGTGTTCGTCTAACATGGTATCTGAGTCATGCCCTAAACTTAGTAGTCGTGGCAATAGATTGATAAATCCTCAGATGTCAAACAAAGTACTCCAAAAGAAAGAGAATGCTCAAATGTCAAACAAAGGAGTCCAAAAGAAAAAGGAGTCAAGTCTTCTCAAAGGCAGTAAAAAAAGACTAAGACTCCAAAGGAGTCGAGCCTCGATTAAGGGGAGACGTGCTTTGTTCGAAGGGAGGTGTTAGATGATAAAAGTCCCACATTGGCTAATTTAAGGAATGAGGCGTGTTTTGTTCGAGGTGAGGTGTTGGATGATGAAAATCCTACTTTGGTTAATTTAAGGAATGATTATGGGTTTATAAACAAAGAATACTCTCTCTATTGGTGTGAGGCCTTTTGGGGAAGCCCAAAGCAAAAGTCATTGTGGAGAGTCGTGTTCGTCCAACCGTCTTTACGATTATTATATAAATTCTGGTAAAAAGTTGCTTTTTTTTTTGAATTTTTGAATTTTTTAAAGAAAATTTAAAAAATTGAAGAGAATGATAGTAATGGAAGTCCCCCAATTAGGGGTTTTTTGTGGACTTGTGAACCTCACATAAGCTAACAGGAACCCCTAAATCTCTAATTACTCCATATTTGACCTCTCCATTTTCCTCTTCAATTCAAACTTCGGCCCCTTGTGTTTATTTTTGACTCCGCTTCTTACCTTATTTCACTTATACTATACGGACAACCTATTTTATGGATTTCTCACCCTCGAGTATAGAGCCTTTTCTTTCGGATCTTGCTTTCACCCCCTAACATTGAAGATTGACATTCGTTGTCTACTTTGTTTTTAGTGCGCGTTTTTAGCCTAGTATGTAGACGGAATCACTTTCCATACTTGAGAGCAATTTGAAACTCGACAAAAGAAATTTCAACCGTTTTAAATATTATATTTATATTGTAATAAACAAATAATCATAGACTTATTTTTTTAATAAATATATATTAAATTGATGTAATTAAGAATATTTATTTAAAATCTTAAATTTAGGTTAGTATAAGTATTGATTTTTAATGCTATAAAAATTATGTGGGATATTAAATTCTATTTTAATTTTTAAATCTTATACTTGATTGATTCTAGTGTAGAGATTAAACGGTAGATAATAATTCTTCCGAACACCTCTTGCAACTTTCAATAGACTATGCTCTCCGAGTTAGAATGGAGAATATTATCGGCCCAAATAAATTTATAATTTAACCTAAAATTAGTTTTAAAATCTCTTAAAAAAATTTGAATATTGAAGTGAAAAATAAATTCAGAAAATTAATTTAAAAGGAAGAAAATGGAATATTTGATTTAGACATTAATTTCACCTGCAATCAAATCAGACAATGGCATATGTAAGAATATGCTCTTGTTAATGCGCATTCTAGACTCAATCGCAGCCGTTGATTCTTGAATCCTAAAAAAAGTGTGGAATTTCGAGTCATCAAGCGACCATTTATCGCGTGTGCCTCACGCGAGTCCGGGTAGCGTCATATCTGCCCGTTGACTATAAATAAAACAGACCCCAATCCGGAAACCCCTATTTCTTCGGTTCACTCGCAGACTGAATTCAAAGCATTTGGCTCCGAGGGTTTGGGGGAGAGAGAGAGAGAGAGAGAGAGAGAGAGAGAGAGATTTCTCTTCTTCTCCATTGTTGGAATTTTTGCTTCCTTCTGCTCTGAATCCCATCTCCAATGGCGCTCTCTGATAAACCCTCTCGCCAATCTCTCATCCCCAACTTCCTCTACTCTTCCTATTCTTCCACTCGAACCCTCCCCTTGAAGAAGATGCTTCAGTCTCCACCCACTCTCGATGGCGTTTCTTCTTCTCCTAAGAGCTTTGTCATTCCCGCGCCCAGCGAGCCGTCTAAGAAGATTGAGATGTACTCGCCGGCCTTCTACGCTGCTTGTACTTTTGGTGGAATTCTCAGCTGTGGTCTCACGCACATGGCTGTTACTCCTCTTGATTTGGTTAAATGCAATATGCAGGTTCGGTTAGCTTGGATTTCTCATCATTTTTCTCCTTGTGTTTACATTTCTGTTTGGGTAAACTTGTGTATGTGTGCGAGGTTTTTGAAATGTTTGTCATCTTTCTCTGATTCGGTTATATTCTGATAGATCTGTGGTTTTCTCGCTTTGTTAGGAGGTTTTTTTTTTTTTTTTTTTTTTCCTGGGGTTTTTGAATTGTACGGATCGGATCTAAAACTTGGCTGATATACTTTGTGCCACCCTAGTATTTGTAATGGATTTGCTAATTAAGAATGTAACGCCAGTATTATGCTTATTCAGATTGACCCTGCGAAATACAAAAGCATTTCGTCTGGTTTCGGGGTTTTGCTCAAGGAGCAGGGTGCGAGGGGTTTCTTCAGGGGCTGGGTGCCTACCCTCCTTGGCTACAGTGCACAGGGTGCCTGCAAGTTTGGCTTCTACGAGTTCTTTAAGAAGTATTACTCTGATATTGCTGGACCTGAGTACGCAGCGAAGTACAAGACCTTGATCTACCTTGCTGGTTCTGCATCTGCTGAGGTGATTGCTGATATTGCACTTTGCCCCTTCGAAGCAGTGAAGGTTCGGGTTCAAACTCAGCCTGGTTTTGCTAGAGGACTGTCTGATGGACTTCCCAAATTTGTCAGATCTGAAGGAACACTAGGGTGCGTACTATCAATGATTCAAGTGTTTTTGGATATTTTAATGGATTAATGAGTTCGAACTCGTTTGTAATTGCAGGTTGTACAAGGGTTTAGTTCCACTATGGGGTCGCCAGATTCCATGTAAGTTCAAAACCAGCTATTCTTATTTGTCAGTTCTATGTGCACCTTATGTTCTTGTTGCATTTTCTTGATTTAAATGATCATATACTCACGCATATATAACAAACTTGGAAGTATGGTGAAATCAAATTTAAATTTGGTATGCTTAGCTATTAGTACAAGCACATTCCTATAATTCAAGATTTTATCAGGTAAGAATTTGTTTTTCTCTATATGTTTGAATCCCAATGGAAACTTAAACTTGTATACTAATTTTAATATCTGCTTTGTACTATGGAAATCAAAGTGAAAACTGACTTTGAGATGTGATAGAACTTCGGATTTTCTTGGGAATATTGAAAAGTAGTATGAAGCAAGGACGATATTGAAGTATTCATTTTCTGTTTTCTTTGAAATGAAACATGGGTTATTTCATTTTCTGTTTTGACGATGTGCTTGTATTCAGATGCTTTGTCACGTTTCCATTTTTATTATTGGTTTCCCCCCGTTTTCTTTTTGTGATGAAACAATTGAAGTTATTTGGTTTACTTCGTTTCAATTTTTTAATTGGTGGAGCCATGAATTATTGTTGGCGATCATTTTCGTTTGATGATGCTTTGGAAGTTGCTAATGGTTTGATAGATGTATGGTCGTTAATGTATCATGTCTAGGAGCATTGTCTGGTGCACCACACAACTAATTACATTTGGCATTCCAGGGTCTTTCATGTTGTTTGATAGTGATGTTGTATGACTTTAGGAGTTTTGTATTGTATCTCTCTGTATTTTTTGTTTCTTCAAGTGGAGAGAATTTAAGAAGATTTATTTGTGAAGATGTTCAGTTATTGCTCTGATTGGTCTATTTTTCTGGACAAAAGATAATGTTTCATCCCTTGACCTCAACCATTTGAGCATGGGTTGTACTAATTGTTTTGTGCAATGATATCTTGTGGATCTGGATGATTTGGAACCCTAAATTGTGACATAGATTTGTGCTTTGCAAAGCTTAGTTTTCTATATTTTTTCATAGATTGCTATGAATTTAACTTGTTTTATTTAGCTATTTCTTAATGACCTGTGCGTCTCTTTCAGACACAATGATGAAGTTTGCATCCTTTGAGACAATAGTTGAGATGCTATACAAGTATGCCATTCCCAGGCCAAAAGACCAGTGCAGCAAATCTCTCCAGCTTGGTGTTAGTTTTGCTGGTGGATATGTGGCTGGTGTTTTCTGTGCTATTGTGTCTCATCCCGCTGATAATCTCGTGTCGTTCCTCAACAATGCCAAAGGAGCAACAGTTGGTGATGTGAGTGCTGCCTCCTTTTGAATGGAGCTGTGCTCGATTTATTATCTTTCCACTTTTTTTTTTTTTTTTTTTTTTTTTTTAACTTTTGGTTAGTTTTAGCACAGACGCACAGATGATTTTGAAGGNTTTTTTTTTTTTTTTTTTTTTTTTTTGAACTTTTGGTTTTTCATTCCATAGGCTGTCAAGAAGCTCGGGTTATGGGGTCTCTTCACTCGTGGGCTACCCCTCCGAATAGTGATGATTGGAACTCTTACTGGTGCTCAATGGGGTATCTACGATGCATTCAAAGTTTTTGTTGGACTGTAAGTTCATCCCAATGCCTAAAACCTTCTTGAATTTCCCCCCATTCTCATTTGAGAACCATCAGTCACATTGTCATTTTCTT